ATCGGATTTTCTGCCGATTTTCTCTCAGGAATGATACAATACTGCCGTAAACAGCACATGGAGTGAAAATATACCACTCAAAGAAGCTTTGATCCAAACTGCATAGATTCCAGTCTTCCGGTTTCGACGCCAGAGCAAAAAGAAAAGTGCCCAAAACTTTAAACCTCTCTCCTGCAAAACACTAGTTTTGCAGATACGACACTTCGTGAGATGACCGACGAATTGTGTAAATACTTACAATCCCATGACACAACTTAAATTACTCAGGGGAAGGGTTGCTTTGACCCTGCACGTTAGGGCCAACCCGCGCGGTAGAGTGGGATGTAGGCCTACAACATCCCAACAGAGAGGATGAGATAATCTATTCTGATTTGGGCTGGGCATTGAGTCGCTTTAGCAATATCCGGACAATAAATTAATGCATCTCTTCGGCGATTAAATGTGTTATGAACCGCTTCGGCAAATGGGTTAGAATCATTTCAACAAATGGGTGCACCCACTTCGGCAAACGGGTCATGAAAGAGAGTTTAAGAGTCTGAATTCGGATAATGTTTCACTGAGAATTATCCGGTTATCCGGATTTTGCCCACCACTAATTCTGATTAACCCCCTTCATACGGGAACGTTTTCATCCACGTTTGTTAAGCAGACAAGATAAAAAGCCAATCTAAGTGATTTTTAAACAGAACTATAATACCTTCCTTCTTATTTAAGAATAAACAACAGCAGCATGAGTACATCTTCTAAAACGTCCCCCCTATCAACCAATATAAAAATGGCAGAGAACCAGTTGGGGGAACGGAACACAACACAGAGAACTAGTTTTAGAGTACACAAGACAGTACATACGTCTACGCAGCAGGAAAGAAGTTACCCTCCCCCCCACCAAACCACTCATCCACCATCCAATCCCAAAGACATTAACTAAATTATGCAGTAGCCCCTGCTCTAACGGCATCCTGTATAAGACAATCCCCTGTACGAACGGTGACTTTTCACTACAGTAATAAAAATGATATGGAGATAAAAATGAGCCAGCAAGGCCGCCATCTCGAATGCTTGGACAGCCACTGAGAACTACTGTCACGAGACCGAGAGGCAAAGTCTGTCTGTCCCCAGGGCCCTCTGGCCTCGTTGGGCTCAGCTGGTGGTCGTCACAGAGAGTGTGCACTAGGCTAAGAACCTTGGAGAACACGCCAGCCCACAGAAATGGCGGAAGAACCGGTGGCGCCTGTCTATTCAAATCTCTCTTCACTTGTTTTGTTTGTTTGTTTGTTTGTTTTGTCGTTTGTTTATTTATTTGTTTATTTGTTTGTTTGTTTGTTTGCATGTCATTGTTGTTGTTTTTTATTTTTATTTCTAGTTTTAGTTTCAGTAAGAGTTTTACGGCACTTGCAACACAATAAATGCCGAAGATTAGGTGTTACAAGAGAGTAACAAACACAAAAAGGAGGGAAGATAAAGACGATAGGTGCTTGATAGGAAAGAAGAAGCAAACCACACCAGAGCACTCGCCAACCACCCACTTTTATTGCTAAGAGTGAAATTGTAATACTAATACCTTTATAGAAAAGGGGGTGGGGTACGGCTGTTGGCGTCTCTCTTTTTGAATTGATTGTGTTATCATTGGTTGGTTGTTAATTTTTGGCTTGTTTGATTTGTTTGTTTTTTGGTTTGTGGATTTAAAAAAATTATTTTGTTCTGTGGAGATACTGGGGTGG